CTGCTCGCAGCAGTGCACAGCCGATGGCAGAGTCCGAAGCGTCACAGACGACACTCAAGGAACAATCGGGTCTGGCAACGCCAGTATTGATGTATACAGGAGGCTGTCTTTGACCCTGTCAAAAGCCTCCCGATGTTCGGTGGTTCAACACTATTCCGTATCCTGCATAAGGCGATTCGATAATGGCCGTGCCAATTTTGCATAATTTGCGCTATACTTGTGCAAATATTTGGCGAGGCCAAGCCACTTGTGCAAGTCGTTTTGGTTCTTTGAAACTGGCCAGTCCACAATGAACTTGACCTTAGCGGGATCCGCATGAAGGCCACGCTTCCCAATGTAGCACCCTAAAATGGGATTTCGTCCGCGCCAAAGATGCGCTTATCGGCATTAGCATACAGCTCATTCGTGTGCATGCACTCGACTACCACTCTGAAATGCTCTCTAGGACAACTGTGGACGAAGATGTCGTCGAAGTATATCAGTGCAAACGCCTGGTGGGGCCTAAATAGTTGCATCACAGGAAGATTAAATGTTGCTAGTGCATTTGACATCCTTTGGGGCATCACCAGCCACTCACATAGCATCTCGTTTGGAGTACTCACCGCTGTCAGGGGATATCACTCGCTTTCATGAGCAATTGGTAATAACCATCGACCAAGTCGAGTGCGATGTACTTTGTATAGCCAACCATATTGTTCTGAAAAACATTTTATCGAGGAATCGGCGTCTGTGTCAGAATGGAGGCAGCGTTTAGCTAATTGTAAGCGTGAACGATACGCCACTTGCCATTGACAAAATGTGGGTGCTGAATGGGGAGACTTGGTCTCACGCACCATTTCTGCCTCGTGCTTTGCACAGAAAAAGGCATTAATAACGTTGCACTGCTCCTTGGGCAGGGACCATTGGCGTGTTACGCAGTATTTGATTTCCGGAACCGGGTCAATCTCATGACGAACGCCTCGGTCCGGAGGTAGCCGACGGCGGGTCTTTGGAGACAACATCTTGAAATTCTTATACCAAAGCATAATACGGATTCGACGAGTCCTTCACGATCAGCGATACCCTTCGTGCGTTCAGGGTCCTGTTAGTGGCCTCCAGGACACCTTATTCCAAAAGCAAGTTAAACTCCTCATAATGACCACCTCGGCTAAATTGCCTGCCTTCAAGCCACCACCAAACTCTTCGGAGAATATCTCGTCAAGCCCAAGAAGAGCATCCACTCTCGAGGGTGACGTCGCCGTTTTCCTTTGCCGTATATAGATGTGCGCTGTCGTGAACGGTGGACATATTCTGGGTCAGGGTCGACACCCTGCAGCTTGCAGATATCATACGGCTTCGCGTCTCTCTACAGAGGTTTTACGTCTCATTGAGACCAATGCGAACACGCACGCGGCGTCGTCCAGTGTCTTCACCCCGTGGTCCATCGGAGTTTTGACGTTATTGACAACCGACGACGAAGATCTGCTATTTTCGCAGTCTTCGTCCAGTGGATTACGTGCCATTCCACGCGGATTAGAAGGTCCTGCCCAAGATGCCTCGGGCCTCGTCACTTTTGCCATGTAGCAACTTCTTTGAAATCTGAGCAGTGTTCAGTGGGTTATGTGCCGCTTCACGCGCATCACAAAGGCCTCGCACTAGATGCCTTGAATCTCGTCCGACCATGCCACTCTTGGCATGCAGCAACTGCTTCGTAACGTGCAGCGATCAGTTGGTTACGTGCCACCACACGTGCATCGCAGAGGCTCCGCCCTCTATGTCATGGCCCTTGGCCAACCATATCACTTTTGGTATGCGACGACTGCTCCAATACTTGTGCAGTGCACATTGGATTACTTGCAACCCCACGTTCAGCACCCGATCAACGCTCGGGACTCCTATCCAAAACACCTTTAGGTCAGGCAGCTCGAATACTCCGATATCCAGCAAATTGACCGTCCCGGTCCAGTGCCCGTGCCAACAGCGCTTCTGCTTCCTAGCAGTCTGCTTCCTGCAGACTCACTAAAGCATCACCAGGGTACATGCGCGTAGCGCCCAAGTTCTTCTCCCCTCCAATCAATCCATGGCTCATGGTGCGTCAACCATACCATACCAGGAATAAGGTCCTTTTTTGCATCCAAGTCTAAGAGTAATCAGCGTTCTACGCTATCAATGTCAAGAAACTTGACACCGAGGTCCACAGGGACCTTCGGCACAGTGACACAAGTCCCCGTTGCTTAGCAAACAGTGACGGTGTCACTCAACAGCGCTTCCAGCACCTCAGCATACAATTGACTTGTTTCAATCGTGGAGCGTCGAGCATAATTGCCCGACGCTCCGAAATCGATAAAGATCTTCCATGGCTTCTCAAAGCCCTTGTCGGGGAGGAACACGGAACGTGCATACACGTTCCGTGTTCAAGAGCACGGATCTCTTCGGGGCTGGGCCCTTCTGCCCTCTACCTCTTTGAGGCACAACAGAAAGAGTTCTTTCCCAGTAGAGCGCCCTGCGCCTGTTGATTTTCTCTTTTCCCCGCGACAAACCAGACCGGTTAGAAGCATGACGTCGATTTGACTAACCCTTGCGCGCCTTGCGTTGGGGACGACCAGCCCGAAGGCGACGGGTGTCTCCACAGACAAAACACCGTCGGGTGTTTAAATGCTACTCAATAGCTCGGGGCTCCCCCATCTTTCTCGGCATAGCTGGGATCCATTGGGTTAGCTCGCTCGACGAGCTCTAAGGGTGTGCATTCGACCCAGGTCGTGCCAACTTCAAGCTAAATTCGGCATTCAATGTCACATTCACCGCCCCTTCAAAAGAGGACGGATGCACAAGGAGGACTTCAGTTTTTGGCCACGCCAGTGCGGAGGCCCTCCTAAAGACGGTCACTGAGCCCGCGTCGGGAAGCGGATCGGCTGCCATCCCGGCAATGTGAGTTCTCTATATTTGGACAAAGTCCACCAAATCTGCCGATCGCAAGCGATATGGCTGGTTAGGCGGCGAGAACACTCGCAGAAGCTGACGCTTCCGCTCCATCCGGGAGGGGAACGCAGCTTCAACCGAAGCACCACACGTTAGTGCCCATTCTCGCGGTCGACCCCCAAGCTTGGAGAAAGGT